TCTTGACATGCTATCATAACGCATTTTCAGGTGTGTGCACGAGATAAAAATAGGCTGGTACGCAACTACACATCGGTACTGAAAGTGAGTGCAAGTGCACCAAGGATCGGGTGATTCGTCAATTGGCAGCCACATCTGCAGAGCGTACCATACAGAACATTGAGGAGCAGCTGGACCGCTTCTCCTTGACATGAGTTGACTGTGTTAGTTGTGGATTACATATCATAAGCCACAACTCGCTTCCTCCACGGAGGACACAGCCACTTAAAAAAGGGAAGAGTTTAAGCATCTCTAAAAATAGTCCAGCCTTGAGGTCACTTCTGAGGTCGGTTCTTGATTATCAGAATATGTATTTGTTTTGTACTATCATGGCAGGGAAACCAGAGAACTCCAAGTTTTACAAAAATAAAAAAACCGCAAAGTTGTATTCTGTAAGAGGTTCGAGACATTCCAGAGTTTTTGACATTCTGCGTCGTTGTAACAATCTTCAACTGCCAATTTAAAGGCAGCATCCAGTCGTATTATGCTCCCCCAAAGCACTAAGTTTACAAGAAGGCGCTAGGAGTAAGACGTCTGCGTTGATGCGGTCCTTTAATGTGGCCTCTGAATGGAAAAAATGGACCAGGAACCCGCGAAAGTGCCATTAAGCCACGCCCGCCTTGGCAAGCTCCGCCCACACAAGTACTAGAAGTCTTTTTTGCCTTCAGGATATGCTTTTTCCATAAATCGGTTTTCTTGGGGTTCTGCATATTTTGCACAGATCTGTAATCAAGGCTACGGAAAGGCCCCAGAATGACAAAAACGTGGCATCAGTTCACAAGAAAAAGCTCTTGAATCTCTCCGTTTGAAAAGACTACAAAAGAAATGGTCTTATTTGTACGCGGACGATTTGTTTATGCTCATGACAGGGATCATGAAGCTTTCTGCACGCAAAGTCAAAGAAGAAGTACCAAAATCCTCTCTCTATTTTTTACTAATATGTATAAGTAAGGGAAGGGAAAAACTGCAAGTCATAATTCAATCAACGGCATCGCGAAGCAATGGGTTGTGGAAATTTGAAGTGTAATTCAAGCAAATGTTTTTCCACTATTTTTCAGCGCTCTAACCATCGCGGGGAAATCCATCCTTGAATCAGTTCTGAAAAAAGCTATTTTAATAGAGAAGCTACATAGCAAAGTGAGTAGTAGCTCACACCGGGGGGGGGGGGGTAGGGAGGGCGGACGTGAAGGTTATCCAATATTGACATCTGAATATGTCAATTCTTTGTGAGCCGATCAAAACACTGTTTCCAAACAAAAATGCTGGAGATATTAGCCTGTGAGTTCGCATTTCTTGTTCGAGAAAGATAAAGTGCTTCAAGAGTTACCCAAATAATGCGTTCAATGGATGAGTCAAAGTGATTAGCGCTTTTCCTTTTTTCATGGAACTCTCCGAAAATAAGCTAGATTAATGAACAGGTACTTTAAACGGAACGAAAAGCAAATCTTTCCTGAGTGCTTACTCTAAGCGTATTTTTCTATGGTTGCACAAAGAGACTGCACTACTGAAATGCCTATAGTTTCTATATTTCTAGCTTTGATTTCTATAGATGCGCATGAATGTACTCGAAATTTCAAGATGATGATCTTTCAAATCGGTAAGAGGACATTTACTCCGAAGGGTACCTTGCTTCTACACAAAGTTCAATGAAAAATGAGTTCGGTGCTTGACGCATCATGTTTTGCGCAATATTTAAAAAATAAGTTTTGAAAAAAAATTCTTAAAAAAATCCTGAAGGATATTCGCAGGGACACATCAAGAGACTTGTTATCATCAATGGCGTGGTATTCGGTAAAAATCTATCGTAAGGAAAACATCGTCAAAAAGCTGGTATAAAACCGCTAAAATTAACCTAGCATTCAAATGCTGCCAAAGTTTTGCTAACCTGCAAATACATCTGACAACTTTTATGAATTATATTTGATTCAGATTTCGAAGATGTTCTCACGTTCCACCGGTTTTGTCAGCATGAAGCGTAAAGGTGATACATAAGATTTTTTATACACTATTAAGCGCATTTTTCTATCGAAAAATTTTCCGTTTCATGACAACTGTATAAGAGAAGGAGAGTCAATTTGATGGTAGTCTGCGAAGCGAGAGCTCAATTATCTTGTTCACTTACAGCTCAGGTCTGGGGTACCTTATTAGCCATGAGTGGTAGTTAGAAGAAAAAGAGTACTCATATAGCTACATAGCCTACCTCGTAGATATTACATGTATGACATAAAAATCAAAGCTCGTTGTTCGCATCTTCTGTATCACGAGGATACTTTATAAATTTATACAGGAGCAAAGGTGGGTTTCTAAAGTTATGTTTTGGTTTTTTTCTAAAGTTAAGTTTTTTCTAAAGTTCTTAAGCGGTTATTATGAGTCGTGATCTGCTGTGATACCGCTAGCCTTCTGAAACTGATGATGTTTGAGAGAAGACCGAAGTTAATTCAACTTTAGAAATAGCTTTTCTAGGTTCCGTTTTGCACATTCACGAAGCGATGCTCTTGTCTGATGAGCTAACAAAAGCTTCAAAAATTCAAGCTAGCATTAGAAATCTTCCGCGCCATGGAATCTAAGCAGCCTTGGGCGTGGGTTCAGACCTGGGGGTTGTATTGGGGAGTGGATAGAATTGCAAAAATGATTACGGCTGTAGACGGCATACCTAATAGTTCCACCAATGATGTTTTAGTCAATTCCAGAAATCTGCACTCCCTACTTTACACCTACCGTAAGCTACTAAAAGGCCCACCCACTAATAGGATGTAAAGAAAGTTTCCGGGCACTTGTGAAATTTTTTTCGAAGTGCTGTAACTTCAAGCAGATTGAACCTTTCTGAGAGCGATAAGTCCATTGTAAAATAATGTTGCACAACATATACTTATTTTATTGGGTCCTCAGCACTTCATTTCGGGCCAACAGCGTGCGCAGAGTAGGGAAAAAGGTCAACTTGAAACTCGGCCTGTTGGTGCAGAAATTCCCCAGGCACGGAGAGAGCTGGAGAACCCATATCCGGTGGTTATGTAGGAGCCTACTTGGGCTGTTTATAGCTTATGTCACATCTTCAAGGCCCCGCTCCGGAAAGTTGAAAAATCGACCATTTTCGCACCCTCAAAATGCCCTTTTTTGTCAGTAAATAATCTCAGAGTCTTCCTTTTTTGCACGAAGCGAATCAAATCTATGCTCTGCAACTATCGCTGGGGTAAGGTCTTGCACATTTTTTGGGCCCGTCACCCAGGAGTGAAGGTCCCTACAAAATCGACGCCAACTGCGAAAACAGGTACGGTCAGAAGCGAGTTTGAGAGCTCGTAATTTTTGTGCGCGTGTTGTAAAATCCGAGAGCAGTTGCGGTGCTGAAATGCACAGCTTTCTCATTCAGTCAACATTTGATTGGTTTTCTTTGTTTACTGCTAGAAAATGGCAGCAGAAACAAAAATTGTGAGATTTTCATCGTTGCACAGACTTTCTTTTTTGGTGCCCAGGTCGTACGGCTTAACACCGACAAAAATTGCGTGTAACTCTAGAAAGCCTGAACATTCTTCTATAAAAACATGTAAATTACCTGTCGATATGATTCAACCGAGTGCGCAAAAAATGAGTTTGAAAATGAAATTTTCAAAACTGCTCGGGAACTTTCTTCAGCCTAATAAAACGGGTGTCTTCAGTAATCAGCGCGGCAAATTAAATCTGTGAGCTCTAGTCATTACCTGCTCAATTTTCATGCTTTCCAGCGTGAGAAGCGTCATTTCAAAACATGTTTAAGTTGGTTTTAGAGACGAGGTGGTCAGCCTTTAAAAGTGTAGCAAGCCAACAACTTCTACTAAACTGCTAAAAATTTCATTTCATAACGTTCCCAGATAGTGCATTTAAAAGTTTTCCCAAAAACCTAGTCACCGCTTCTACACAATGAGTGCTCTCTCCATGGGCTCCAAAGCCAAAACAAGAAGCGTATACACCACTATGTAATCTCAAACGAGTATGCTAACGAACGGCATAAATCTTGAATCGCTCTCTTCGAGAGAAAGTCAATGGGGTCAAGCGCTGCCTTTCAAAAGATCAGGCTGTCTGAACATTGTAGTCTTGTGCCTGACCCTGCTCGACTTACCTCCAGAGACCGCAAACTAAATATTTTTGTAATGAGTAGCAAGCTTAGATCCTGCTCTGCAACAGTAATTTAGTGACAGGATTTTCCTTACTCGATGAAGGAGAAACTGGAGAAACTCTCTTGGAGAAATTCTTACCTAAAAGGGAAGGATACTTGGTGACCGTGGACTTTCGAAATGAACGTACACCAACAAATGCATATTGAAGCGCTGATTCCAAATCTGCCTCCGGCATCTGCTGTCTCTTGCGAAAGAAGTTAAGAACATTTCTTGCCACTAAAATTTGCACTGTTTTGATGATAGGAATTACCAGTATCGTTGGGATGGTTACTTACGCGGACACCTACGTCCAATGTGAAGTTTAGGGAAAATCTCTTTGATATATCCTCTCCAGAAAGACACTGACGATTCTGACGGCCTAGATCTCGTAAACCTCAAGCGGAAAAAACCCACTAATTTATTCAGAGTCGCGCAGCTGATAATGAAAACAGAACTGGAATCAGCGTTTCAAGGCGCATCTAAGCGTGCACATTTCACTGTAAAGGGCACTGTCACCAAGTATCTTACAGTTGTAAGAGAAAAATTACCGTCACCTGTCTTTTTTAAGCGTATTAGTTGTGTAGAATCGCACAAAAACAGGTGCACAGACCTCGAATTCCAAAGTGTGACCTGAGATTACGGAGATGAGAGAGAGAGGAAGGAGGGCCGCTCAAGTAGGTGTGCAAAGGAGGAGGGGGGGGGCGGCATTTAAAGAAATATGCCTGTCCTTCTCCTCATTGATTATAAATACGCAATTACGATCAATGACTACATTCAGTCAAATTTCATGCTTGGGTGATGTTATGACGACACTTTTGCAAAGTTTTGCATGCCATGTAAGATTTATTGTAAAAAAATCAGCACAGAGCAAGAGAAAAATACACCCCGACTAGATCCCAATTAAATGAGGGACACGTTCACTTCTTTGATAAGCATAGTCCAAGTCCGCATCGAATGATCCTGTTCCAAGGTTTGCATTTAGAGCATGTCTTGCCAGGTATGTACATCTGTGCGTTGACTTGGTTTCCTCTATAACAGCATAGCCTTCAATACTCCTTGAAATATTTACGATTATGTGACTAAATCTTACGGCGGATAATATCGGCACGCTTCCACCCAATCCTTACCACACTTAGCAATGGAGCAACCCATTTTTTCACTCGAAGCCCAGCCCATCTTCAATGATAACATGAAATTATAGCACCAGCGTTGTCTCTTCGCCCGAGACTCCATTTTTTTCGCTCCCTCTACAAGTGAACTTACCAGAGTGTAGGATTTTATGTCACTACTCCTGTGTTTAGAACGAAAGTAGGCATTTCTGTCAAGACCTGTAACCTTTTGCACTTGTTCCCACCACTCTGTGACCGTCTAAAGACCAAACTTTTCGAGTCCTTCACTCTCACGGCAAAACAATTGCCTTCTTATTCATATCCCTGTATGTTGGCTCGTTTGCAGTAATTGTGCCGCGGTAGAAATTCTGCGCTGGGCTCTTATCATCAGATCTTTCGTAGCCTTCCGTTGGGCAGCTTCTGAGAAAATCGTGAGCTTCTCTCTCCAGTGCACAATCCCAAGTCTGTAAATATTGATGAATCATTACAAGAGTTAGGGGAAGTCAAAGCGTAGTAACCAGGTGATTCATGTTTGTGGCTGCGCGTAATTTTTTTCCTTGCTTGTTCCGAACTTCTCCCAAAGCGAGCAACGCTCTGTAAGTTTGATTATGAAGCAATCAGAAAAACATGTAATTTGTTGAAAATTTACGCATGAAATAAAGGAGAACTTACCGACGATAATTATGAGTATTTTGCATGTACATTCTTATCGTGTCGTTTATTTCGGACGACGCACACCAAGTGCTCTCTGAAGAAAGTAGAGAAGTTTTTGAATCAAAAGTCGACTATGTTCTCATTTAGAATTCATAAATTCAAAACATCTATACCCGCTTTGTAGACGCTGCGACATGCTATATGACCGCAAATGTGATAAGGTTATGAGTTTCTCCCCTTTTTAAGGAAGTTGGCAGCGATTTTCACAACAGCACCTCCATGAGTTTAGGGAGGGTAGGGCTGACTGAATCCTAATTCGATTGCAGTAAATAGATTCACATAAGTAAAGGCTGCGTGACGAGGCGCAATGGCGATATTAGTTGAGCGGGCGCGAACGCGACGCGCGGGTATCCTCACCGTTGTAGATCCCGCACCTCAAGCGCTCTGCGGCCAATAAAGCCGCCTTCGTCATGCAGCAGCCTATACATGGGAAGATATTTTTTGCAATACTTTCAAAAGTTCAGAGTTCTATTGAAGTTCAGCTTTAGAAAAATGCCACTGCATTAGCTTTGAAAGTTAAGCTCACCGGAGGAATTCGATCCAGGGAAAATAGCTTCAACGCACAACGAATTCTCACAAGTCAGTGGCGATTCACATTCGCAGCTTCCTTTGGTACCCATTTCATATATTTGGTCCCCAATTTCGAGTTTACTGGAAGTTTGAAGGATTGCAAATACGAAATTGATTGCATATTTGCCAACTCTGATCAATGACTTTTTTTTGCTTTAAACAAGTAATCGTCCAAGCCATCTTCTGTTCTTTGTTATACTCAAATTAACAACTAATAACAGCAATGCATGTAGGCTTTTACCATTTGAGCCATCAAATTTAGTAAAAGTATCAAAGTTTGGAGAATGAAACTTCAGCAGTGGCAACACTTTAACTGTTCCAGTTTGATCAAACGAGAAACGGATTGCATACTGATCGATTTCAACTCATTACGCGGATAAAATCATAGATATAGCCCAAAAATATATGTCTAGGCTAGTATCGTTCCTCTGAATGGGAAATCAGGTCGTTGTGCCTTTTAATTTTGCAGAAAGATACAGTTTTAGATTTTCGAGTCTAAAAACCTGTGCAGTACTGCAAAAAGGACCAGTACTTCACTAGAAAGCTCCTGGAAATTTCTTTATATGTACAGTTTGTTGGTCAAATTCCAGTCTTTTCACAGATTCCCTGATTATCTCCACCCAGGGCTTGGCACAGCTGGCACCGAGCCAAGCTGGATATCGTTTTTGGAGCGGAAAGCAAAGGGAATATCGTTTTTGCCCCGAAAATATATGAAAACTTTTGTGAATGAAAGCTGTGCTGAACTTTTTTTCTGAATCAGCTGGCATCGTGCCAGGTGAGCTGGCACCGACCCTTTGCTCACAAGTTTTCACACTTTTTTGCATAAATTATACCCTGCAAATTTACACACAAAGAAGAAGAGATTTTATAATGTTTTGTCTTCCCGCATTTTATAACCATTTGATTTCTCGGTCTGCTCCGCAGTCAAGACCAAACAAAGGCAAAACAAGTCAAAGGGGACGAAATTTTCAAGATCAGAGGGCACTTCCTTTTGAAAAATGCCCTGATGCCAACTCGTGCTCAGCCCTGTCTCCATCTTGTCGTTAGTATACCAGCAGTTCTAAGCGTCTATGGTAGCGGACGTACGCCGCGCGACTTTGGTCGCGTCTGCATTGCTACAGCGGCTCATAATCAGGGTCAAGCAAGGGGTGTGGCACACGATCGCTGGTTACGACCCCCCCCCCCCCCCCGATTGGTGTCTTAATAAGACCCTCCCGCTGAACTATACACTTAAGATAGCATTACTTAAAGGCCCTGTCAAACATAATGGACAACATATCCATAATTAGCATCTCGATTAACCCCCCTGTAGATAAAGTGTGAGCGAATTTTGAAGATTCAAGATACTGGGCTACCTAAGTGAAATGGTCAAATTCCAACATGGTTAACTTTGTTTCAAAGGTGAATTAGCTATCCGTTTTTGCACTCAAGACAAAGCACTACTCCTTCTTTGTCCACTTCAGGAATCCGGCTTCAGAAGACCTTCAAACTGTGGAATTAGAAGCCAACCAAAATCTCGTTTTCCCCCTTTTTCGCTTTTGATCGCTGTTTTTTTTTTTATCCTTGCATTCTTCCCTCAGAGGGGGTCTGCTGCTCTGGTTAGTCTCTTCCAGACTTCTCGATTTTCAGCTTGATCTTCTTCTATCTCAAGTTCTCTCAAGTCCGCTTTCACTTTGTCTATCCATCTCAATTTCGGCCTCCCTCTTGGCCTCTTTCCAGGTACTTCGATTGACATCACCAACCTAGCGACATGATCTTCCGCTCGTCTTCTAACGTGTCCATACCATCGCAATCTCTTCTCTTGTATCTTCTTGACGATAGGGGCGACCTTCATCGTAGCTCGTATGGTGTCGTTAGTGACGTGGTCCAGCATCGTGACTCCCGCTGTCCATCTTAGCATGCGTGTCTCCATCACACCAATCCTTCGTTCGTCTTCGCGCGTGCACGGCCAACATTCGCTGCCATACAGAGCAGTCGGGCGGACTGTAGTGCGATACAACTGGGATTTTAGCTTGAGTGGCATCTTCTTATCGCACAGGACTCCTGTGACACTTCTCCATTTCGACCAAGCTGCATTTATTCTGCTGGTTATTTCGTCCTGAAGCGTACCATCTGCGGCGATGCGACTTCCTAGATACTTGAATGTCGTGGTCTTCTTAATTGGGGCGCCTTCGATTTCTATAGTTCCAGGCGTTTGAGGTCCCACCTCCATGTACTCGGTCTTGCTGGTGTTGATCTTCAAGCCGTGCAGCTCAAGTTCATTTTTCCACTTCTGCACCTCGGCCTCTAGTACGTTCCTGCTTCTTGCCATCAGCATCACATCATCTGCGTACATCAGAGCCCACGGACTTTGCCGTATGAAGTCTCTAACTATCGCATCCACTACCGTGATGAAGAGGAGGGGTGACAGTACGGAGCCTTGATGAACTCCGGCGTTGATCTGGAACTCTTCTGATGGCCCTGCTGCTGTTTGTACGTGGCTTCTGGCATCTTTGTATATCATCTTGATCCATCGCACATATTCTTCCGGCACCATGTGCTTTCGTAGTGACCACCATATGATGTCGTGCGGCACTTTATCGAACGCCTTCTCCAAGTCCAGGAACGCCGCGTGCAGCTCGCATTGCTTTTCCCTGCTTCTTTCCATCATTATTCTGACAGCGTGGATGGCATCTGTTGTACTGCGGCCTTTGACGAATCCACACTGGTTAGGGACTAGCTCCACGATGTTTCGCAGTCGTGCTTCTAGAATTCTTTCGAAGATCTTCAGGGTGTGGCACATAAGTCGGATGGGGCGGTACGTCGTGCAGTCAGCTACGTCACCTTTGTTCTTCCATATTGGTACCGTCACGCTTCTGCACCAGTCGTTCGGAATTTTCTTGGCTTCTATCACCCGATTGAGCAGTCGTGTTAGCCATGTAACTCCAGCTTGACCACATGCTCTCCAGAATTCGTTGGGGATGTCATCAGGGCCTGTCGCCTTGCCGTTCTTCGTCTTCATTATTGCGGCGCGAACTTCGTCTTCGGTGATAGTTGGAACTGGTCCATGCACAGGCTCAGCTGTAGACGTCACTGTGTACTCGTGGCTTGTAGACGCTGTCTCGGCGAAGTGTGCTCTCCATCTTTCTCTTATCTCTTGTGGCTTCCTGAGCATTTTCCCGTGTGCGTCCTTGATACTGTAGAAGTGCTCTACATCTCTTGTGGCGATTGATCTTGTTTTCGCGAGTCGGTAGATGTCTCGTTCGCCTTCTCGAGTGTGCAGCTTCTTGTAGAGTACCTCCATATACGCTTCTTTTGCCTCTTTGACACTCTTCTTGGCTGCCCGCTTCGCGTCTGAGTATCTCTGCCGTGCCTCTTCTGATTTCAGCTTCTGCCACATTCTGTACGCTGTCTTCTTCTTCTTGATCATGGATTGCACTTCTTCGTTCCACCACCAGGTTTCTTTGTCAATTTTTGCCCTTCCTGGCTTCGTACGTCCTAGTAGACTGCTTGCTATTTGATGGACATTCTTCTTCAACTTCTTCCAGGAGTCTTCTAATTCTTCTTCCAACTCTGGTAGGGCAGATTCCATGGCTGCTCTGATGTGGTCCTTGTCTTTGAGCTTCCACCATTTGATCCGTGCTACTTGCCCTGTTGTTGTTCTTCTTTGCTTGTCGGCTGGAATATTCAGATCCAGAATTAGTGGTCGATGTTGTGGTATGCAGTCTTCTCCGGGTATGACCTTGGTGTTCTTCACATACTTAAGCTCACTTTGTTGTACTGTCCAGAAGTCTATCTGTGTCTTCCGATTCCAGCTGGCGTACGTGATGAGATGACTATCCTTCTTTACGAAGTATGTGTTTGCCAGTGCCAAGTCATGCGCCGTGGCGAACTCCAGAATACGTTCTCCTTCGCTGTTACGTGTTCCGTATCCGTGATTACCATGACACTTACTTGTACCACTTCGTTGTACACCTACATGCCCGTTGAAGTCTGCTCCTATTAGTAGCATCTCGTCGCGCGGTATCGAGTCGATACAGTCATCGAGCTGCTTCCAGAATTCATCCTTCTCTATCTCCGTGCACCCAACTTGTGGCGCATATGCGGTTACGACTCGTAGAATTCTTTTCCCCATATCCATTCTGATGCACATTAGTCGATCACTTATTCGATCGACGTCCGTGATTCTACTTCTTAACGCTTCTGAGACCACTATACCGACGCCGTTCCTGTTGTTGCACGTTCCTTTGTACAGAAGCTTGTACCCGTCACCTATGTCTCGTGACTTCTCTCCTTTCCATTTTGTCTCCTGAATACAGGCGATGTCAACCCTACGTCTTCTGAGAAGATCAGCCAACTCGCGATGCCGTGAAGTGAGTGATCCTACATTGACGGTGGCGAGACGTAACGCTGAGAACTTGGATACTCGCCTATGGTGAGCTAGCTTATTCAACCGTCCCCGCTCACCCTGCTGAAACGGTAACCCTAGCATACTGTTCGCATCCGTCGGGCTCGAATGCGCGTCGCCTCCGGGGAACGCCCTAGCTTTTGTTCCGAATACTTGATGAGACATAAAAGAGCATTTTGATGCGACTAATGTCTTCCTCAGCCGGCTTGTCGCTTGCTTTCCCTTTGGATTAGCAGCCTGACGCTGGATTCGTGGGGCGAGAGTTTTGCCAAAGAGATTAGGCCCACCGCGGAACCGAACCTGTGACCTTCCTCGCCGTAGTCAAGGGCACTAACCTCTCGGCCACTCCGCCCGATCGCTGTGCTTTCACCAAATATTACTCAGAGCTAAGAAGACGAATCAGGCTCAAAACATTCCTATGGAATCTACGAGATTTACGCTATCGATTTATATAAATACTGTTTGCTAAAAATGTTTTTTTGATATAGTTAATGGGGTGTGGCACACCCCCTTGAAAGCTGTGGCAGCCACAGCTTTTTAGGGGTTGTGCCACACCCCATTAATTGACCTTCAAACAGACCAAATAGCTGCGTTTTTTATATCGTTGCTACTGCTTAACCATCTTCTTTACATAGCAGAAATTTCAGAAAACGTTTCTTCAAGAGCAAGATATATTTTTTTCCTTACCTATGCAAATGTAAAATACTGGTAAAACACTGCGAAAATATTGGGATACGGTGAAATGCCAAGTCTGCTCTACCACGTGAATCGCGATTTGGCAATACTCCAACTGTTTATGACTCACCCTAAGCACATTCTGAATGAACAGAAGTACTTTTATCGATCTGCGAGAGTTGTACATGATGTAAATTAATAGTCTGCAGGTGTTGATTTTGAACAGATCTGGCAGATTGCCATATCGCATGGCGACTGAATTTCGGGTATGCTCGGAACCTAAGGCGTTCTAGCCTTTTTCGTGTATTGAAGTTCGTGCTCGTCAACTTCGGATCATCAAAAAGTTTTGAGACCTTCTGACTCGTAAGGAAAGCTATGTCCTTGCAGTTCTGCGGATGGCACATAATTCTGAAGCTACTGGCTAAGCTAGCTTTTGGCAGACTTATGCAAGAGATTTCCTAGTCAAGGAGAATATGTTGGTCCAGTTTATACTCTTGACGCAGATAAATCACCCGATTTCAATTACATCAAGAGACTTTCATGTCCCTATCGAGAAGAAGAAATTTTGCATATCAAAATAGGTCCACCAGGGATACTTTCGCAGGTAATCACCGTTCTGTTTTTTGTTCTAATGAGGGTTGAAGGGAACAGCATCTATTTTTCAGCTGCAAAGAATCTAGACAAGAGCACAACAACTGTATATAGATAGCAAAAAAAGCAGACTAACTTCTGATCGGTGATGCATAGTCGCATATAAATATTTTCCCCAGAGCTTGATTCGTAACATGTCCTGTTTGCGCAACCTATTCTTGAAGCAGTATCACGCATCATCTAAAAGTTGGGTTTTTACTTGCTTTCGAGATGATTTTCATTGAGAAGTACATTGGCATAAATTTTCAATCCTTCATCATTTTTGGTGTATGTCACAGGCGCGACTCTGGTAAGACGATGCCAATAAATCTTATGGAGGTGTGCTCCGAGATAGCCAAATGGAATGTCATGCAAATCGTCGCGTGAACTGAATAAAATTGAGTAAGTTATCCTATCTTGACACGAACACAATTAATGCAAGATTGATTGGAAAAACAAATATAATACTTAAAGTTTCACACATTTTTACACGGGCCCAAAAATACTGTGGCGCTCACGGCGAGCTTCATGCACTTCCATTTATGATATAGGAGTAGAATCAGCGACTTTTACTATAGGAAGGCTTTGGAAAACCCTACCCAAAGACAAATCCTCTTGTAGGTTCTTGCTGCTCTGAGATGTCTTTGCTGCATTCCATTTTGGTCAAAATACGGCTAGCTTCTTTTTCGAGTGAGCAGTCGTACGACTGAAGCAGTATAAGGCAAGGGACATACCTCACGCGATTTCAGTCGCCACGCGATCTGGCAGTTTGCCATATGTCTTCAAATTCAATACTGGAAGACCTCAAATGCATAGCATGTATAACTTTCGTAGACTGATAAAATGCCCCCTCTTCCGTACATTCAGAAACCCCGTAGGATGAGTTATGAACATTTGGAGTATTGCCAAATCGCGTGGCGACTGAAATCGCGTGAGGTATGCCCGAGGCCTAAGACAGTCACATAATAAAGTAATAAACAGCAAAATGTGATGCACGTGGCGCAATCCGTGCTGAAAATTGCTTCTAAAGGGAAAAAAAGATGTTATTTTCACATGTATCAAGTTTCGAAGGGAGTCCCAAAGCTTTTGCAGGAAGTTTCTTTGCTGCTGTGACTTTAAGCAGTTCTTTTTGGATGAAGAAATTTCTGCATAAGCTTGTTTTGTTTCGCACGTAAATTGACTTTGGCGCATAACTAGAGATGTACACATCTCTACAATAGACTCGCTGCCATATTTACGACTTGCATAGGTCTTTATATTATCGAGAGTACCCACCGCTTAGCTAGGTCATAAAACCATGCGACGAATGCACAGCACCATCTTTGGTGTAGCGGGAACAGGTGGCTAAACAGTCTTCGAAAATTTACATGGCAGATTGTCTCAAGTTTGGTAGCCGCTGAAGATCTGCTTTTGAGTAAATATGCGCTGTTTACATAGAATTTTGTTCGGGATTAAAATCTTTTATTCACTGACGTTTAGGCTATAAGGCCTTCTTGAGAGTCTGAAATTGTCGAGTGCGTAGGTAATATATCCCGTCATAAACCGCATGAAGAAGACGTTCAGTGCGTCAGTAGACCAAGAGCTACATAGGTTGCAGAATTAAACCACTGCTCACCGAAACAGCTGATGAGCTAAGGCAGTAAGAAGCAAAATAACAACAATACCGAAATCGAGCGATAGTCAGACATGGATGAAATCCACTCGTTTTTCTACTATATGATATGAGACCGGGTGCGCAAAAAAAGAGCGAAAAAATTGGAAGTTCAAAAATTGCCTAGGAACTTCCATATCAACCTAATACAGGGTGTCTCAAAAATTGCGCCTGCTGTTCTATTGTAAATAACACTTTTAACGAAATGTTTCGAGAAGCTTTAGGTACCACTTTGTAGAGCACGCTTCAGCTTAGATTTACCAGATAGAAAGAATCGCTGATCGCTCTTCGTTTCTGTAGGATTAAGGTAAGAATTTAAAGAGGGTTTTGAGCTATAAAAGGCCATATTGCCTCAAAAATAAAACAAAACCTGGAAACTCTCATACTGGACTGTTTGATGTTGGTGATTTTGCATGTGAAGTTTGCACTTATCATAATGCTTCATGAAAAAGTGCAGATAAGCAGTATTGGCCATTTTTTCAATGTTCCTAAAAGCGGTTACACCGTTTAGAAGGCTTCGCAATCCTGTACGTAGTTAGGTATTGAACTCAGCGTCCATGAAAACCCCATTGCACAAGTTCTTTTTTGAAAATGTTTGAAACGGCAGTTTTTTTCACAGTGACACCATAAGGTTGAGGTTCCTACTGTAATCTTACAGTAATGAAGAGCAATCGCTGATTCGATTATACGTTCTATCTAGGTTGAAGCCAGGTCTACAAAACGGTACCTAAAGCTTCGCCAAATACTTCATTACAAGAGAGTTATTGACAGTCAAACAGCAGGCACATTTTTGGGACACCCTGTGTACGCATACGTAGAGTCAATGCAAGTGTTCTGATTCTGTACCCGAATATGCTTCGGTAGTGGTAAGCAAAGGTAATATCCTTCCTGCGGAATCCGGTTTGGAGCCGTAAAAAAAGCATGTTCCAGTATGTTGTATATAAAATCGGATTGCTCAGATCGCGCAATTTAATTGGGTTTCTACATGAAATTATGCTAGTGAAAATCGTTGAGAAGTTGGCCAACTTCGCCCCCATTAACTCACACATTCTTGCAGCCCTCCCATGGACGAACAGAACTTCCTATCTATGACATAAATAGGCCAATGTTATTGTCAAATGTTCCATAAATACTCCCATCCCATCCCTCCCCCCCCCCACAGTCACTACCCCTCATTCACTCACCCCCCCCCCCCCCCGCTCTCCGTCAGGGCCCGGCACACGCTGGTTTGGAGCATTTTTACAAAAAAAGAAGTCCATCATGACTTTAAGTTTTACGAAGTCCCCTTTGACGTCAGAATCAGTAGGGAAACCTTTGTTAAATCAATATAACAATAAAAAAAGTGGACAAAGCGTATGTTGAAGTTTCTGATATGACAAAAAAGCAAAAAAAAAACATTTTTTTGAGGTGATTACAGGCTCTACTATTGAATATGTACCATCTTAGTGCTCAGTATGTCGAAAAAATCCTAAGACAACCAAATCTATAGCCTCAACAATCTGGCGATGCATTTTTCGCCAGAGTTCAGAGGACGCCGCATGTGACTGGAGCGCGACATACATCAGCGCATAGGTTTATGCTAATCTGGCTCAAAAAAGGAGAGGCAATGTTTGATTTTGTTCACCACATGGTAGAATTTTATGCGTTCTTATCGTCCTAATCAAAAAGGTCCAAAACTTAGGTGAACTCTCCAATATTTATGCTCCGTACCACCCCAAGTAGTTTGGTGTTGGTCTAGAAACCAACAAATTCGAGAACGGGTATTAGGGCACATAAATTGTTGAGACTTCTTACATAACGTTGTTTGGAGTAATATTGTATGCACATAGCCCTCGATGCCATGTGATTGTTTGTGCGGTGTAAACAAGCCATTGTTTGTAGTTTTGCGTTTGAAATTCGCGCTTGCAAATGAACGCGTTTAACTCGTAAAACCTGACATGTTGGTCGATTTTTTTTCGGGGCTCCTCCCAGGACCCTACGAAAACGACATCCCCATTGCTTCCATCCTCCAAAACGAACTGCAGTTTGACCCCAGAAGATCTGTGCGCCCTGCTCTCCGTGCATGCGCGGGAATTCAAGATGTGCGGAAAATAAACGAGGGGGGAAAACCTAAAAAAAATCGCAGTTTTCATGAACAGCTGTTTACGAGCTGAGGTTCAACGAAAAAATCACAACCTACATATTCCATTTTTTTCGAAAACATCCTTATCACTGCCATAATAGGTCCTCAATGCAACTATTCAACGACTTTCTAAAAAGATAGACAACTTCGAAAACGGGGTAATCTCTGGAGATCTCCAGGGATTAACCCAAAACAGTGATAATTTAGCAATTTCAGCCTTGTGGCAATGTCTTGTCATCCATTATAAAAAGAAGGATACAGATATCTAGGTTCGCTAAATATGACGCATCCCCTCTAACAAGGGAAGAATACTTGATCGCAGTGACGATTGGGTAAGCGGTGTATACCGCGTATACCGTCCCCAGACGGTGATCGCTAAACCGCATTCCATATTTGCTATGACGTCATTCTGGAGGAGTTATAAAGATTTTTGGTGCAGCGGCTTGGACTGCGGAGCTGGACGTCGTGGGTTCGCTTCCTCTGGGATGCTACCTGTTTTGAGTTTTTGTAAATTTTAGCAGGCAAGTAGCAAAATCTGTCGACATCAAAAAAGTTGATTTTCACAATATGAAGCAATTGTTTTACATTTTTGGCACTGAACCACCGTCTAACCTAAAACACTCGTTTTTAGCCTTTTTCATTAAATAATTTACTCAATTTTACATTGAAGGATTCCGAATTTTTTTCATTCGTTGCGCGCACTGTGAACGTGTTTTTTGTTTTGCACATTCTGTGCTTTCGTATCATACATGTTCACGAAGGCCTTTCAACGTAAAATTGTGTAAAGTATTCAATGAAAAAGGCTAAAAACGAGTGTTTTTAGGTTAGACGGCGGTTCAGTGCCAATAATTGTATGATTGTAAACATATTGCTTCATATTATGAAAATCAACTTTTTTTGATACTAGGTCTTGCGACTTGCCTACTAAAACTTACAAAAATGCAAAAAGAATGGCATCCCAGAGGAATCGAACCCACGACGTCCAGCCAGGGCTCGGCACGAGGTGGCTTACAAGCAAGCTGGGTATCGTTTTTGGGACGAAAAGCAAAGGGGGTTTCGTTTTTGTGACCGAAGAGACACGGAAAATTGGCGACGGCGACCTTTTTTTTTAGTCGACGTCTCGTTTTTTGGGGGATTTTGGGGAATTTTTCAGGTTTTTAGAGGAAATTTGGTTGAGGGTCAAAGGGGACTTCGTAAAAATTCCCAAAAGTCAAGGGGGACTTCGTTTTTTCCATTTTCATCTAGCCACCTCGTGCCGAGCCCTGCGTCCAGCTCCGCAGTCGAAGCCACTATGCACTGCACCAGAAATCCCTTATAGCTCCCCCAAAATGATCTCATAGCGGATGTGGAATATGGTTTAGAGATCACCGCTTGGAGACGGTATACGCGGTATACACCGTTTATCCACTCGTCACTGCGATGTATCCTTCCCTTGTAAGATCTCCTCCCCTTCCCAGTGGATGCACGTGCATACGAGTTGCAAAAGGCCGAAAATTTTTATGATTACTTGTGTAGTACAGTACAACTGGAGGGCTCGCCGACCGGTCTTTATCAAAGTGGTTAGAAGGGACTTACTTACCACTTTTTTCATATTTTTTGCCGGAGGAAGATAAAGATTGTCCGAGGGGACATCACCAGGCTGTCCAGACCATGCTGTCCACCCATTCTTTTGCTCTCCAGCAGCTACTCTCTGACGATAGTCATTGATCTTTGCGATTATTGATGATCTGACTTCTAAGTTCGATGTGATGCCATTTTTACAGTAAGCAACACCTGAAATGTAATCAGTTGTCGCTATTCATCTAGAAAGAGACTGAGAGACTGGGAGAACTCGCTTTCTCCACTGCTAAAAAGTCAACCAACACATAAACATGACTCAGTGCAAATTGCAAAACTCTCAACTTGTGAGAAAAAGGCGAAGGGGTCGCGAACTTTCTGGAGGTCACTTGAGTAAAAAAATGTGGCAGTGTTTGTTTACACTTGTAAATGAATGCAATAATTTTCGCCTCTTTTCAAATTTCGAGTTTAACTGCCCGCAAAAAATCTGGGAAGCATCAAAAAAATTCGCCACTTATACAGAGCTATCGTAAATTTTAAGTTCGTTCCAATATTTTTTCTTCCTGCATCCAGAACACCAAGCATCACGCTTCGCGGAAGATGTCGGTCGCACTCGGAACAAATTTTCATCCTCTATCAAATGTGCGTAATAGTGTTGCAGTGTCGCCAAAGAGTTCTCAGAAAATCAAAGCGAAAACCCATGTTTTTTTGTCGTGGCAAAGTTTCGCTAATTCTCTTATTTCTTGTATTTCTTTCTTTCTTCTTCTGCCGAAAGATCCGAGCAGTCGGTAGAGCAAAGGTGTGGTCCAGTTGCAGTTATGTGCTTGTAAAACCATAGTCGGTAAGTTCTATTATGAGTTATGTATAGTTCTCTGTTCTAGTGATTGCTTGTTTAAAAACCTGAACGAAGGGGTGTGGGATGGGGATGATAATGGAGTAATTAGAATACTTCAATTATAGCGCTTTAAAGTCATCAGTGTTCGTTCTCCATTCTTGATTGGAGCTAGTCACTGAAGCGAGCAGATCATTTGTGCAGTAGAGAGTGTGTAATTGCTCATATTAAGTTAAAGGCACATGCAACAAACCTTTGAAGGATACCGAGCTTTTCTTTTTTCTTACATGGCCGAACTCACCCTCATCAGATGACTGGTCTGCCTCCGACACATTCAATCCAAAAAGTATAAAGATGATCTGGAAAGAATCGTTGATCGCGGAGATAAAGATGAAAGATAAAACTTGCCGAGATCGCCAAGTATTTCGGCCAAAGCATCTTCATTATTGGCTCATTGCTCTCCTTTTTATATGCAGCCAATTTTGAAGGGCGCTGTAACGCCTCTAAAATCATGACGCCATTTTGGCTACATCATAGTGCCAAAATTTTGCTATTTTTCACTCTGGTGATGATGACTTATAATATGAAATCACAGTATTGATGGAGCCTTTCAGAGTGACGCCGATGTTTAGACTAAACTAGAACTTTATTGACGATGAATAAAGGAGTATACTGATGTATTATCGAAAACGAAGCTGTTTGCTGCTTTATGAAAATTCTTGGATGAGCAAGACGAAGATGCCGGAAGTTTTGACAACATTTTCGCGCTGTATCTCCCTTTTTTGCATATGTTAAACTTTTAACAAATTTATAGAAGTCGAAAAGGGATCGTTAATCACAGAACAGTGAAATAATCGTTAGGATTTTTTGAATGATGCGAAACATGCACAACTGAATACTAAATAACATTACGCTTTCCGTTAATTTCAAGTTCATTTCAAGTCAAAAATTCAACGAGCAGTCATTTTTTCAATTATAGACTTTGAAAGATTGACTGCGTCTGGACCACGCCCAGGTACTGGCACAGAAAGCAAATCAGCTGATCAAGACATCCACAAAGGATAAAGTTTGAACCTCACGCAGTCCGAGGCTAGTTTTCATGATACGCAATAACGTTAGAAATCGTTGCCTCAAAATCCTACGTCACTTGCACAGGCTTATTTGCACCACTTCAAAGCATTCGTACAATTTGTTTTTTTTTGAACAGTTTTCGAGGACAAAAATGGCAAGCTTAGCCAAGGCAGCCCTGTTCTTCCATGGAAATATTACCATTACACAGTTGCTACTAAAATTACAATATCTCACCTTGATATGGTAAGAAAAACCTCGCAAAAGCTGAAAAAGGAAAATTCAAGCAAAATGCGCTAGGAGAGCCTCTTCGTCACACACCGCAAAACTCTATTTACTGTACTTTCGATTTCTACGATTTGGACTGCATTACTGGATTGAATATGAGTGTGCTAGCTAATTACCCGGCTCCGCCCGGCCCTCTTGAAAGACTATGGCCCGTAGTAAAGCTCGGTCATGGGAGATTATCTCCCCTAAGACCTTCATGTGAGTTTCTGTCAGTAAAATGACGACCGCCCATTTCCCCATGCTATAGGGATGCAACGTCACCTGAGAGGTGAGCCTCAGGTGAAGTTCGGCAGGGAGATGATCTCCCTGCCGGGTCATGGGAGATGATATGAGCGATGATGTCGAAATAGTGTGCTAAAGAGGAAACGCAGAGAAAATCTTCGTAAGTTGCTCCTGAGTAACTTACGATACACAGCAATTTGCCTAACACTGCGGACAAAATCGGCGCAAAATTGCACAACCGCGCCCGAAAAGGAGAGGATGGATGAACAGCTGATTTTGGCGAGGAAGACAGAAAAAAGCAAATTCTTCTCTTTTTTGTAAACTTTACTGGTTTTTTTGAAGCTGTCCAAAACGAGAACTCATTTGCTCACTTTATTAAATTCGCGCTGCAATCATTTCGTTTTTTTCGTAAAATTTTCTTCACAAAATGTGTTTTTGTTTTATCCGTGCATTTGTTTGGCGAAATCCTTGATAGCGATCATCATCGATTGGATAGTGGCCGCTATCAAAGATTGCCCGGCGATGCAAAAAGTTGTGTCGCTAGGCGGACTCGAACCACGGCCGCGCGCGTGTAATTCCAATGGCTTACCCATTTAACCAAATCGAACCAAGTAGCTGTCTTTTCGAGAGCGTACTTGATTATAATGTCCAGGAAGCGATCTGCATCCAGATCAATAGCTCGCCGGATGCTGGACTGAGGCGCCAAGATATCAACTCCGGTCCGCCTCAGGGGAGATGCCCTGACGGTAGTTTACTACGGGCCTATGATAAAAGTCCCATCCCTATCCTGTACATCCTTTCCCTGTGCCCACTTCTACATAACATTTCCCTATTCCCGCAGTATTAGTAATCAGCTTGCTCACTTACCTCCCCCCCCCCCCCCTCTGTGCGAATTCCCACCCGCACCTCGAACGTCGCAAAAAAACCGATAAAATCGATAGAAGTAGCGGAAGGTTTCAAAAACTAGTATTGTATTCGTAACCAGCATGCTCACATACTCATGCTCACTGCTCCTTCCCCCCCCCCCCTGCCAACTCCCTCGTAGCTTGAACTTTGCAGAAAAAGTAGGTAAAAATCGATTCAAAAATAAATTCGTTTCACTTGGTTTGAGTTTGAGTCAGTTCAGAAATACAAATTTCTATTCCGCACATACGTACATGCAGATGCAGAGATACAGACAGGCAAGCTGACATCAAGCTTTATGTATAAAATTTCTATAGTTTTTTCACGTTAGAGGCTCAGTGCAGCGCCTAGAAAGGATATTACAGATGATATGAGCAATTTGCGATTTTCGACACAAGCTCCGTCACTGAGATTGTCCAAAAATCAGTTTGAGGTCTAGGCTTTTCTCCAATGCAGGTAAAGCATTTCAAATTGTGAGAAACTTGAATATTGTATTGCTTTTTTGCATTACTTTTTACGCAACACCCCATCTTGAAATTTCCTCGTGTCTAAATGAAAGAACGCGTTCAACTCCTAGAACCTGACATGCTTGTCGTTCTTTTGTTGTTTTTTGTTTTTTTTTGTCGCTCCGCCTGAACCTCATAAAAGATATCCCCGTTATCTAACCTTAAAAACGAAGTCCAGTTTGCCCCCCCCCCCCCATCTGTGCCGGGCCGTGCAAGAATCTGCCTAATTCGTATTACACGTGAAGTTTCAAGCTGAAATCTGATAGTAACGAACACCGTCAAAATTCGTATCTCTGCCCCAATGTTCTTAGAAATTTCCCATTTATTTTAGCATATGCTTGACACATCGGAAATTCGATTTTACAGTTTCCGTATTTTTTCTATGCTTAGAAATAAAGAAAAAATGAGTGGAGTACAATGGCAAAGAAAAAAATGAGTGGAGTACAATGGCAAAGTCCGCCATTGACGTACCGTGCTCCTCGAACGCACGTGATCATATAGCTCATACATACAGAAGTACGATCTTGAAATCGTAATTTTTTAGGTGTCCCGTGTTTATAGCTGTTTAGGTTAGAAACGGTAAGAAATCATGAGACACCCTAATGAAGATGCACGAGGACCCTAGGGGGTCCTCGTGCATCTTCGCCATTCCGAAACGATTTTCTCGCTTCCAAAGCGGCTTTTTCGCCCCGACTTGGGTATCGGCTTGATAGGGGGACTTACTATTCTATGCCCAAAAGCTTAACACCCTCAACTTAGGGTGGACGATGCCTTTGAATGAGCGACATAAAAGAACACAGCCTTCACCATAAAAACAGAATTATCTGATCAGACTGAAAGTGAATGAAACAAGTATCATGATTAATATCTCAGAAACATCTCAGCCCGTGTAAAGAGGTTTTTATAGCTTTTCTGTGCTAGAAACAACGTTTCTATAAATTTCCGTAGTAGTATAAGTAAAATTTTTTAGTACAAGATTGAGTTTCAAAAGTTCGCTGAGACTCCGCGGGCATCTGCGACCAATGCCAAATGCCCCGTCGGCTCTAGTCTTTCTCCTCTGTTCGTCTGCTCTATCGCGCCAAACCAAAGCGAGGCGCGGCACATCAGGCTCTGGCACCCTTTTCTTGTTATCCTGAACACAACTCTAGCAGTTATCATAGTAAAGCTCGTGTTCTCTTTTTCACGCTGAACATAGTTGCAAAATCTCACTCTTGATTTGAACGAGAAATCTGGCGAAAAAAGTACCCTGACTTCACGCGTACAAGGCGCACCTTTTTCAATTTTTCGACTTAGCCCCTCAGCCGCTTCAAATTATTTCGGAAAGCGATCCTTATGCCGTACGATTCTCTTAAGCAATATACAGCAAGGCATAAGGTCCTTTAACTGCGAAGTTCTTTGGATTTGGGCTGGTCGACTTTGGAAAAAAATCCCCCGCGCCTTGTACGCGTGAAAATAGCGTATTTTAAATCTTTGTTTTGCTCCAGTTCAGATCTTTTCAAGCGATTTTCTCGTGCAATCAATAGATTTTGCTTTGGTTCATATTGTAGACAATGTAGCAGAGCTTACTTTCTTAATGTGTTGAAATACATGAGTTATGTTGTAAGCCACGCAGGTTTGTTAAGTTCTTTATTTCGGTCTAACGTTTCGGCAAAAATGCAAACAATGCCCAGGTTTCATGATCAGAGAACGTATAGAATGTGTTGAAATATTAGGTTGTTACATAAGTCTTGTTACACTTAACTTCTAACAGCAATAAGTCACACACCTCATAGTCTTTGCAAGACTCCAAGATACCATTCGATAGAGCAAAGCAAGCTCTACAAGATGGTCTGCAAAAGTTCGCACCAGCTCCGGCCCACCGTAAGTTTGCACCCAAAATCTGAGTCGTACTGAAATTCAAAAAGTCGCGAAAAATTCACATCTTTGTTCAAACAAATCCTACGGATCTCCAACTTGCTCACAAAAATTGCCCACTATATCAAACACTCATATGTACCGTTGCTGTATTTTTTCTTTATCTAGAAATCAAGAAAAAGAATTTTTTTTAGTTTTTACAAAAATAAAGCTATGTTGTTTCTATTCATGTAGCTGTATACTACAAGCTCTTAGAAGTATGACCGTAAATTTTCAGCTTCCCGGAAGCCCTAGTTTTCGAAAATTACCTGATTTAGCATTGAACACCCGAGTGATAAAAAGCTAAATTCGGTATTTTTCGAAAATTGTATCTTCCGGAAAGCTGAAAATATACGGTTATACTTCTAAGGGCTTGTAGTATACAGCTACATGAGTAGAAACAGCATAGCTTCATTTTTTGTAAAAACTAAAAAAAATCCTTTTTTCAATTTCTAAATGAGGAAAAAATACAGCAACGGTACATTTGAGTATTTGATATAGTGGGCAATTTTTGTGAGCAAGTTGGAGATCCGTAGGATTTGTTTGAACAAAGATATGAATTTTTCGCGACTTTTTGAATTTCAGTACGACTCAGATTTTGAGTGCAAACTTATGGTGGATCGGAGCTGGTGC